TGCATAGCCTCAGGACGGCTTACATAAATAAGAAAAATAAAATAAAACACAATACAAATAAAATCCAGATCCACCCTGGCTGCAGATTAAAACCTATATAGCTGATGTTAAACGTTATTAAAATATTGTTGAAATAAAGAGGTCTTAGCCTGGTGCCGAAAAACAAATAACGACAGCACCAGGCGGACTTCTCTGGGGAGCGCATTCCATAGGAGGGGCGCCACCGCAGAGAAAGCCCTCCTAATGTCTTTCACGGAGGGTTCCCGAAGGAGGGCCTCTACTGCTGATCTCAGGGGGCAGGAGGGCAAATACAGAAGAAGGCGTTCCTTTAGGTATCCAGGTCCCAAGCCCTTAAGGCCTTTATAGGTAATAACCAGCACTTTGAATTGAGCCCAGACTTTGATGGGAAGCCAGTGAAGCTGGTAGAGGACTGGGGTTATATGAGAGTAACGCCCAGTCCTCGTCAGCAACCTGGCTGCTCTGTTTTGCACCATCTGAAGTATCCAGACTGTCTTCAAGGGCAGCCCCACATAGAGCGCGTTACAGAAATCCAGCCGGGAAGTAACCAATGCATGTGTCACTGTCACTAGGCAGTCATCCTCCAGTTAGGGACGCAGCTGATGGATTAACCGAAGCTGAAGGAAAGCGCTCCTCGCCACCGCAGTCACCTGAGCTTCCAGGGACAGCTCTGGGTTGAGGAGCACTTCCAAGCTGCGGACCCTGTCCTTTAGAGGGAGAGCAACCCCATTCAGGGCAAGGTCCAAGTCACCTACCCAGGAGCTCGAACCACCCACCAACAGGACCTCTGTCTTGTCTGGATTGAGTTTCAGTTTATTGGTCCTCATCCAGCCCATTACCTCGGCCAGGCACCGGTTCAGTACAGCCACTGCCTCACCTGAATCGGTTGAAAAAGAGATGATTCTGCAGCCCAAACCTCCTGATGACCTCTCCCAGTGGTTTCATGTAGATGTTGAATAGCAAGGGGGACAAAATGGACCCCTGTGATACTCCATGGCATAGCTGCCATGGCGCAGAGCCAAAGTCCCCCAGCACCACCTTCTGGAATTGGCCATCGAGGTAGGAGCAGAACCACTGCCAAGCAGTACCTCCTATTCCTTGTCCCGCTAGCCTATCCAGAAGGATACCATGGTCGATGGTATCGAAAGCGGCTGAGAGGTCCAGGAGGACCAACAGGGACGCACTCCCTCTGTCTCTCTCCCTCCACAGGTCATCATACAGGGCGACCAAGGCCGATTCAGTACCATACCTGGGTCTGAAGCCAGACTGAAATGGCTCCAGATAGTCTCATCCAAGAGTGCTTGGAGTTGTCCCACCACCACCCATTCCAACACCTTGCCCAAAAACGGGATGTTGGCCACCGGTCTATAATTGGCGGCTATCTCTGGATCCAGGGACACCTTCTTTAGGACCGGCCTGACTACCACCTCCTTTAGAGGAGCAGGCACCTGGCCGTCCCTCAGAGAGGCGTTAATGACCTCCAGAATCCAGGCACCAATCCCGTGTTTGGCTTTGGTCAGCAGCCATGACGAGCAAGGGTCAGGTAAACAGGTGGTGGGACGTACTTGTCCAAGCACCTTGTCCACATCATCAGGCCGTAAAAACTGAAATTCATCCAAAAATATCTGACCAGACAGAGTCATTGGCACCTCCCCTAGAGGATCTGAATCACTAGTGGAGTCCAGCTCGTGACGAATCTGAGTGATTTTCTCCTTAAAGTGCTGGGCAAAGTCGTCACAGCAGGCCATTGAGGGTGGTACAGGATCTTTCTTAGGGCCAGGATGTACCAGCCCATGTACCACTCAAAATTGCTCCGCTGGACGGCACTGTGAGGAGGCAATGGAAGTGGAGAGGAATTTCTTCTTCGCCGCCCTCACCGCCACAGCATAGGCTTGATAATGAGCTCGTAAGTGTGCTCGGTCAGATTCATCTCGTGATTTCCTCCACCTATGCTCTAGACGTCTCCCAACCCACTTCATCGCCCGTAGTTCAGGTATGTACCATGGGGATGAACGGGCTCTGCCAGACAGGAGAGGATGCTTAGGAGCGATCATGTCAATAGCTCTGGCCATTTCCCCATTCCACAGTTCAACCAGAGCATCAACAGGAACGCCAGCTTTATCAACTGGAAACTCCCCCAGAGCTTTCAGGATCCATCTGGATCCATCCGGCTCCGAGGGCGGACCAACACAATAGGGTCTGCACCCTTCCAGAGGGAAAGGCCAGCATTGAGCTCAAACCTCACAAGGAAGTGATCTGACCATGACAAGGGAGTCAGACACAAATTGCTCACCCTCAGATCACCCTCTTTCTGCCTCGTCGAGAAAACCGGGTCCAGAGTGTGTCCACGTTCATGGGTCGGGCCTATGACGTGTTGAGACAGCCCCATGGCCGTCATGGAGGCCATGAAGTCCTGAGCCACCCTGATCAGAACAGTCTCAGCATGGAGATTGAAGTCCCCCAGGACCAACATCGTGGGGATCTTCAACACCAGGTCCGAGGCGATCTCTGTCAGCTCAGGCAGGGAGTCTGATGGGCAGAAGGGTGCACGGTACACCAGCAGAATCTCCAATCTGTCTCGGTCGCCCAACACCAGATAAAGGCACTCTAGACCTGGTCTCAAGAGAACAGGAAGCCCTGCAAAGGAAATTGAAGCTCAATAGATTAAAGCGACCTCCCCTCCCCTCCCCTCCGGGCGTGGCTGGTGCTGGACCAGATACCTGGGCAGGCACAGTTGAGAGAAGGACACATCCCCCCCCTCCCGCCCAGGTCTCTGTAATGCAAGCCCGGTCGGCCCCCTCATCCACAATTAAGTCGTGGATGAGGGATGTTTTGCTATGGACCGACCTGGCATTAAGCAAGCATATAATTCCATGTCATCTGCATGTCATGTCTGCATTTAGAGTCTGCCACACAGAAAGCCCCACAGCCAAAATCTAGGGATATCTTTGTGTTTTCCCAGCTAGAAGAGTCTGTCAGGGATACTTTCCCATTATCCTTTGAGATCGTAAAATCAAAATAGGTTGTACCTGTCCATAGTAATAACAGATAACAGTATTGCACAGAGATTCTATGCATTCCTATATCAAGCAGTGGCTATAGGAGAGATCATCTACTTCTTATTGACTCTTCTGCAACAGCTTTTGCCTAACAGTGGGCTAACGGCACGCTCAGAGTTTCTTAAGAAGGATGTTCAGTTTTAGCTTTAAGGCAGCAGCCCTATCCCTGGGAGTTTTCTTCCACCTCATCCATCTTTGCCAAAGCATCTCTGCTATGGATAGAAGATCTTGTTCAAGACACAAAACCTGTATCCAGCCCTTTTGCACATGGCTCTTCTAAAATCTGCCAAGGTACCAGCTTGATTGATCATAGCAAGAGCAATAACTGCCACCACAGTAGCCATACATAGTCCATTTGGATCGGGCAGTGAAATACAGACAAAACTTCTCATTCTGATTTAACTTTGGTCCACTTTAATGGCTGCCATGTTTGGAGAAAAGGCATGCAAAGATGACCTAGTAGGTACTAGGGATAAATGTACAACTATATTTCCTCGCATCCCAGAGGATCTCATTCAGCCCAGATGAAGCTATCTTTTCTTTCATGTCAACAAAATCTCATTTCAGAGAGTGCAAGCATGGCAGTCTGTCCCAGTACAGAGCCAGAATCCCTGTTGAATGAGATTTCATCTCCTCCAGGCCAAATTTTCCCAGGCAATCAAGAGGGTTGTCAGAAATTTTAACTCCAGCAATCTACTATAAAGAGAAAGTTCCAGCTATTGCTCTATGTCTAGGAAGTGTCAGCTGTGGACCTCTGGGTCATTAAAAAAAACAATTGGAAGCATTACTATATAGAGCTTCAGAAAAGAACATAAGAAAACTGTCAGCTGTTCCCAACATTCATATCACAGACGAAACAGATGGTGATAGAGAAGGCCTTCAGTTACCTTACAACTGGGTAAGTGACCCAGTACTTGTGAGCAGTTTAGGACTGCAACTCCCATAATTAACCAAGCAGGTGGCACACATGTGGTCTGTTCTGAAGGTGTAGCAGACAGTGATGTTTCATCTGTTGTGTTCCAGCTTATGCTGGAAGTAGGCTTTCATTCTTTATTTTTATTCTGCTTCCATTCTTTATTTTTACTCTGCTAGACTCTTCAGTTATCCTCATACTTGGTCCCAGGACAGAACTGGGAAAGAATCTAGCTTTGCTAGAGCTAACCCTGAAAATCCAAGTCACATGATCCTTGCCTCACTTGGGTGGTGGAGGAGACACCCCACATTGAATACCTCTACTACACAAAACCAGAAGATAATTTCATGGGAAGTGGCTAGTGTTCTAATTAAACTATAATTATTGAGAATATATTTTAAATTGAAAAAAATAAATTATTAAAATGTTTAATTTTGTTTCCAAAGTGGTGACACACATTTTTATGATGCTGACTTCTCAGTATTATCATTTCACAAATACCTTTCTTCCCTATTGCAGTCCTCCAATAAACGGCAACATCCTCTGAATAAACATCTCTTCAGGCCTTCAACTTTCATGACATCCCATGAACCTCCTGTGTATATGGATGAAGATGATGATAGATCCTGTTTTCACAGTCACATGGCCAATGCAGCAGAAGAGGAACCATCGGTATGTTTTGCAGTCTAAGGAGCTAAAGATAAGTTTTGCATGAAGGTGCTGAAAATTCATGAAAAGTCTAGGAATGCCGTTGTGGGGGGAGGGGGAACAAACCCTTCAGTATAATAGGGACCTGCATGCTACAGATGTGAGAAAGACTCTTTTATTTTTGAAATTTGCTTATAATGAGTGTAATCAAAATCTCCTGTGTATGAGCAAGAAGTGCTTCCTATTCAAAGGGCAAGCATTATTTTAGCCAGCTACTCTTCATATCTTACGGAGTGCTTTTCTAAAGGATTTCCTGAGTTTGAGCTAAGGTATTTAAAGGTTTACAGATGGAAGAAGAGTGACCAAAGCTCAGTGATAGATACATCCTTTGCATACAGAAAGTCATAGGTTCAAAGTCCTTACCAACTCCAGTTGAAAGAGTCAAGTACCAGCTGCTGGTAGAGACATGAGACCCTACCAGTCAAATGCTTGGCTAACTGGACTGTACAAAACATTGGCATAACTTTAAAGCTTCTTTGTATTAACAACACAGTCATTGGTTGGATGCCCATCATTATTTTTAGGGTTGTAGGAACAACTGTCCAAGATTCAAAACTAGACCAGAACAAGATTTTCCTACAGGGCTATTAATAGAGAAGCAGTAATTACTTTTTCAACAGAAAAGCTCAAACCAAACTCAGGGTGGTAATGGTAGGGAAGTCAACCTCTGTAATAGCTGACAAAGTTAAACTTTCTTCCTTTCTGAAAGCTCAATGTGTGCACATAACATGACAAATAATCCTTGTAATCTGTTTCAGCCTATTCCTGCAGTATGATGGCTGAACTTGCTAAGATCTGGATGGATGAAACAATAGGGCAGGAAAAGTCTTACTATCAGTCCTGGCTATCCTAGTAGGCCTGGTATGCAAATACATGATTGGGATCCAGAGTTTTTTTCTAGTAAATCTAAAGCTGCTTGCTGTTTTTCAAATAAATCTTTGCACCTTAGGAAACTGAATTAACTGATCTTTAAAAAGACCTCCAATTGGAATACCTCTCAAAGGAAAAATCTTAATGAATAAGATTTAAATATCTTATAGTTTCAACTTCTTTGTAAACTATCACAACTTTAATGGAATAATTCAGCTGTTAATTTTTTATTATTTTATTATTGACTATTTTAAAATCAACAAAACTTGTTAATTATGTATATTTCGTTGGAAAGCTTATTGCCCAAAAGTCACAGTTGCAAATAAGTTATTTTGAATTTGCAGAAATAGTTAATAATGTATAATGTTTGATCATAAAATAACTTCTTGAATTAGGTTGTGATTATTTCAGAATGCATTAGTTTTAGATGTGACTTCATAACGTCCCTCAGATATAGAATCATCTCTTTATACAATATACCACACTGGCCATTGCTTTTTATTGTGAATATTGTACAGTGATGCTGTGGCATGCAAGTGGAACAGTTCTAGGGTCACAATAACCTACTCTGAAAATAAGCTGGGCAGGGTTGTTTACTCACCAACTCATGTTACTCCCAACGGAAAATCAGGTGATCTGCAGTTTACTGCGGCTTGTTTCTTCCTTAGTCCTCCAACACCACCCAACATGTATCCCATTTGTCTTTGCAGGGTAGCCTTGGCCACTCAGTACAGATGCCTTCATTAGTGGAGTGAGTGGGGGCAGTAGGTAGATTTTGTTTTCAACCTTCAGGTAGATTTGTGCATATTTAACTTTTTAAAACCACTTTCAGGTAAATTTGCACTCTTGCTTTAGCAAGGTTAGTGAATAAATAAGGTTAAAAATACTAAAGTATCCCTTAAAGGTGGTGGTGGTGAGAAATTAAATAAATGCAATTCTCTCAAAGGTGGGAAAAATTATATTTGTATAAATCTCCCAGAAAGTGTGTGTGGGCGGAGATGGCAGTCTAGAGAGAAGTGTCATGTTAAGAAATAATAGGGGAGATACCAGTAGAGGGGGTTTCTCTTTTCTTTCTAGGTGATTGAATAGCTTTTTCTGACAAACCATGCACAATCCATCATGCTGGATTGGCACATCACAGCAGATCATTCTGAAAACAAGCCATCCTGAACAAGCCATGGGTTCTAAGAGGAGTATTTATTTATTTATTTATTAAAACATTTTTATGCCGCCCCATTCGCCGAAGCCTCGGGGCGGCTTACAACATAGATAAAACAATAAGTTAAAATATCCATTGCTTGTAGGTTGCTTGTGCCTGGTTAACATGCACATGAAGGAAACAGCACCCAGTTTTGCTTTCATTACAGGCCACCCTGAAAGAAACAACACTGTGGCTTGTCATGTTATGCAGGTCAAGTTTGTGTGTGCACCAGCTGTGTAAAGAAATGTCAGTGGTTGAATGTAGACTTTCCAGCTTGATCAGGCATGCTTTTTCGTGTAGTTATGGTGCTTGTTAATCTTCTGTTTGGATGTTCTAGCTTGTTTTCGAAAATGAAGCAAAAAATCTAAAATGAAAGTGCAGCTTTTATTATTGTGCATGTTACATTGTAAAAGCATGTTGAAGGACTTTGTTTGCTATTTTTATTTTTGTCAAAACTGATCTCCTCTCTAACACATTTTGAAGGATAATAAAGTGACAGTATTGATTACATGAGAAGTCATGTATACCCCTATTACAGTTTTTCATTTTGTCTTGGTTGCATTTATGTCTTCAGGGTAGATTCTGTTGTTCCTGTCCTGATAGTTTCTCTCATCCCTAAAATATTTTAGAACTGGTGGGTGAATATAATAGCTTAAGTTTTGTGCAATTTTTTTAAAAGAAGAAAGGAAAAGTATGTTCACATGAAAAACAATTGTATCATATGTATTAGGATCTTTTTGTCTTGGAGAGCTAGTTTGGTATGGTGGCTTTGTGTTAGGGTAGAATGTGGTAAGAGATGCAAATGTTTATTCAATACATGAATTTTCTGGTTAGCCTTGAGCAAGTAATTCACCAGGCTAACACAACACATTGGGTTCAGTGGAGGTTCTTTAATCCATGATGAGCTACAGTGCATACCAATTGTCATTTTGAATATGCAACTAACACTTGGGGGTTGCCATGTCATGTGAACTTGGCCACCAAGGCTTATTTGAGGGTTAAACAACCCTTGCGTAACTCTCAGTTTACTGTAGGGAAATCCAACACAATATGGGAAATTTCCAAGCAGGGAGTTACCTTTTCAAAATGGTGGCCAGCATGCATCACAGCTTATTTTGCATGAAACAAGCCCAGATTAGTCCAACATGTCATGTGAACTGGCACATTATCTGTATCATATCTAAATCCCATGTACCATTCTTGAGTTTTGGGGAAAGAAATGGGATTGAAATATGACAGATTAATAGGGCTAATTTTTAGATTAATGCTAAAGACTACAATCACACTTACTAGGAAATAAATTGTTTCAAATTTAGTGAAGTGTATGTTGTGGTAAACAGTGTTCCGTGCACTTTGGTGTTTAGTCATGCCGGCCACAGGCCACAGAGACTGTCTGCAGACAAATGCTGGCTCCCTCGGCTAGGAAATGGAGATGAGCACCACCCCCTAGAGTCAGACATGACTGGACGTAATGTCAAGGGGAAATCTTTACCTTTACCTTTTACTTTGCTGTAAACATGCATAGTATTATTTGAAAACAGCTTTCTATAGGCAGTTTTTTGTTTGCTTTTCAGTCACTGAGGATTTAAAAAAATTACTCTCAAAGGCCTATCACTTCTGTTTTCTTCTTAAAATAATGGCCAGTGTTAAAATGAGATTCAGAAGTATATATAAAATTTTTGGGTGGCAGTGGCAATAGGATAGTATGTTAGATCACCTTCATGACTGAAGGCGGGGAAAGGAGAGGATGGCTAGGGAAGGCGTGAGAGAGGATGATCTTGTGCAGGGACTGGAATGAGAAAGGGGATGATTTTTTTCTACATTACTCCTTAAGTGACAGTTAAAGCACAGCAGATTCTATTTTTATGTCTGTTGCTTCTAACTAGTGCAAGTTGACAGTTGTTGTTAGTCGCGAAGTCGTGTCCGACCCATCACAACCCCATGGACAACATTCTTCCAGGCCCTCCTGTCCTCCACCATCCCCCCGAGTCCACTTAAGCACACACCAACTGCTTCAGTGACTCCATCTAGCCACCTCATTCTCTGCCGTCCCCTTCTTCTTTTGCCATCTATTGTTCCCAGCATTAGGCTCTTCTCCAGGGAGTCCTTCCTTCTCATTAGGTGGCCAAAGTATTTGAGTTTCATCTTGAGTATCTAGCCTTCTAAAGAGCAATCAGGAATGATCTCTACGACTGACCGGTTTGATCACCTTGCGGTTCAGGGGACTCACAGGAGTCTCCTCCAGCACCACAATTCAAAGGCCTCAATCCTTTCGTGCTCAGCCTTTTTTATGGTTCAGCTTTCACAGACATACATTGCAACTGAGAAAACCATAGCCTTGACTATACGCACTTTTGCTGATGGGGTGATGTCTCTGCTTTTTAGTATGCTGTTTAGACTTGCCATAGCTTTCCTCCCCAGGAGCAAGCGTCTTTTAATTTCTTGGCTTCAGTCCCCGTCTGTGGTGATCTTGGAGCCCAGGAAAATAAAATCAGTCACTACCTCAATTTCTTCCCCATCTATTTGCCAGGAAGTGAGAGAACCGGATGCCATCTTAGTTTTCTTAATGTTGAATTTCAAGCCAACTTTTGCACTCTCCTCCTTCACCCGCATAAAGAGGCTCTTTAGTTCCTCTTCACTTTCTGCCATTAGAGTGGTATCATCTGCATATCTGAGGTTGTTGATATTTCTCCCAGCAATCTTAATTCCAACTGGTGATTCATCTAGCCCCACCTTTCTCATGATGTGCTCTGCATATAAGTTAAATAGACAGGGCAACAGTATACAGCCTTGCCGAACTCCTTTCTCAATTTTGAACCAATCACTGGTTCCGTGCCCAGTTCTCACTGTTGCTTCTTGACCTGCATATAGGTTTCTCAAGAGACAAATAAAATGGTCTGCTACTCCCATCTCTTTAAGAACTTGCCACAATTTGTTGTGATCACACAATCAAAGGCTTTAGCATAGTCAGTGAAGCAGAAGTAGATGTTTTTCTGGAACTCCCTAGCTTTCTCCATGATCCAGCGTAGGTTGGCAATTTGATCTCTAGTTCCTCTCCCTCTTCGAAATCCTGCCTGTACTTCTGGTAGTTCTCGGTCCACATACTGCAGGAGCCTAGCTTGTAGTATTTTGAGCATAAGTTTGCTAGCAAGTGAAATGAGTGCAATGGTGCAGTAGTTTGAACATTCTTTGGCATTGCCCTTCTTTGGGATCAGAATGTAAACTGACCATTTCCAATCCTGTAGCCACTGATGAGTTTTCCAAGTTTGCTGGCATATTGAGTGTAGCACTTTTACTGCATAGTCTTTTATGATTTTGAATAGCTCAGCTGGAATACTGTCACCTCCACTAGCTTTGTTGTTGCTCAGACTTCCTAAGGCCCATTTGACTTCACATTCCAGGATGTCTGGCTCGAGGTCAGTTACCACCCCATTGTGCTTATCAGGGACGTTAAGCTCTTTCTTGTATAGTTCCTCTGTGTAATCTTGCCACCTCTTCTTAATCTCTTCTGCCTCTGTTAGGGCCCTGTCATTTTGGTCCTTTATCATGCCCATCTTTGCATGAAATGTTCCCTCCATATCTCCAATTTTCTTGAATAGATCTCTGGTCCTCCCTATTCTATTGTTTTCGTCTATTTCTTTGCACTGATCATTTAAGAAGGCCTTCTTCTCTCTTCTAGCTATTCTCTGGAATTCTGCATTCAATCGGGTGTATCTTTCTCTTTCTCTCTTGCCTTTCGCTTCCCTTCTTTCCTCAGCTATTTGTAAAGCTTCCTCAAACAGCCATTTTGCTTTCTTGCATTTCTTTTTCTTTGGGATGGTTTTAGTTGCTACCTCTTGTACAATGTTGCGAACCTCCAACCATAGTTCTTTAGGCACTCTGTCTATCAGAACTAATCCCTTAAATCTATTTGTCACCTCTACTGTATATTCATCAGGGATATGATTTAGGTCATACCTGAGTGGCCTAGTGCTTTTTCCTACTTTCTTCCATTTAAGTCTAAATTTTTCAACAAGAAGCTCATGATCTGAGCCACAGTCAGCTCCTGGTCTAGTTTTTACTGACTGTATAGAGCTTCTCCATCTTTGGCTGCAGAGGACATAGTCAATCTGATTTCAGTGTTGACCGTCTGGTGATGTGCATGTGTAGAGTCGTCTCTTGGGTTGTTGGAAAAGAGTGTTTGCCATGACCATCATATTCTCTTGACAAAATTCTACCAGCCTGTGTTCTGCTTCATTTTGTACTCCAAGACCAAACTTGCCTGTTATTCCAGTTATCTTTTGGCTTCCTACTTTAGCATTCCAATCCCCCATGATGATAAGGACATCATTTTTTGGTGTTAATTCTAGAAGGTGTTGTATCATAGGTCAACTTAAGCCTCTTCAGCAACAGTGGTTGGGGCATAGACTTGGACTATTGTGATGTTGAATGGTTTGCCTTGAATTCAAACTGAGATCATTCTGTCATTTTGGATATTGTATCCTAGTACTGCTTTTTCTACTCTTTTATTGACTATGAAGGCTACTCCATTTCTTCTGAGGGATTCTTGCCCGCAGTAGTATACTTGATGGTCATCTGAATTAAATTCACCCATTCCTGTCCATTTTAGTTCACTGATTCCTAAGATGACAATGTTCAGTCTTGTCATCTCTTGTTTGACCACATTCAGCTTCCCTTGATTCATGGATCTTACATTCCAGGTTCCTATGGAGTATAGATCTTTGCAGCATTGGACTCTCCTTTCACCACCAGATACATCTGCAACTGAGTGTCCTTTCGGCTGTGACCCAGTCGATTCATTCTTTCTGGTGCTACTAGTACTAGCCCTCCGCTGTTCCCCAGTAGCATATTAGACACCTTCCGACCTGAGGGGCTCATCTTCTGGCGTCATATCTTTTTGCCTTTTGGTACTGTTTATGGGATAATTAGGGATACAGAGGCTTATGCAGTCATCCCCCATTTTCATTTTCAATAACTTCATGAAGTGGGTTGAACTGCAAGATAGTGACTGGCACAGTGAGGGTTTGAACTAGGTCACTCCACTCCTAATCTGACATTGTTTAACACACTGGTTCTCATCAATTATCACAATCAGTACTTATGAACTAATATGTGTCATATGAACAGTATGACCACTTATTGCTGTTACTGAAGAATTTAATCATTTGTGTGTAAGATAGTGAAACACAGCCAGGCAATTTTCCAACATTTGCCTTCAGAAAATCCTTTTTGCATTGATTCATCTATGGAAAAGCATATTTGCCTTCTAAACATATTCTGAAAAATATGTGGTGATGTGAATTACTGAGAACTTAGTAGTTGTAGGGAGAAGAATCTATTTTTTTTCTTCCCTTGTCTGGGGAAAATACTTCTAAAGCTGATAATCTCTAAGGGAAATAGGGGGAGAAAGGATTAAATTCTTCCTTCCAGTACTGCTGTTATCCTGATTATCAGTGCTCCCACCACGTTTGAAGCTATTCGCATTTTTTAAAAACCTCACAATTAAAAGGGCATTCGATGTCATGCCTTGTTTGACCCACATTGGGAGTGGTGGGCAAGCTTATCTAAAGTCATCCTCTGATTCGGAAATTCTGACAAATTTTCCAAAGGTTTTCTGAGGCATATAATATGCTTTTATATGCACTGTTGATACCAAACACAGTACAAATACCCAACTAGGTGATTGTGTGTTTCTCAAAGTTATATTAAGGCAGCTAATTAGAGTTGTTTGCTATAAAATGACAGTCTTTTGATAGTCTAATAATGGACAAAATTATGTATTTTTGTGGAACTGCTTGCATAGTTTGACTTCTTCCTTCTTCATCTTGTTTTCTGTAATTTTCAAATATTCACTCTTTAACAGGATGAAGAAAGTATCCCTGTAGCATATCGAGAATTACCAGAATACAAAGAACTACTTCAACTAAAAAAGCTGAAGAAGCAGAAGTTGCAACAAATGCATGCAGAAAGTGGCTTTGTACAGCACATAGGCTTCAAGGTCAGTAAAGACATCTTTGATTACTTTGTGAATTGTAATATTCAGCAATATTAGTGCTGTAAAATTTGCTAGGCCACATAAGCAAGACTGACTTTAAAAGAGAGTAAAACCATTAATACCATTGTGTTAATGAGATGTCTGAGATCTAATCTTCATTTCAAGAAGTATTTGTATTAGGCATTAGAAGAAAGTTGGAACACTTTATAATTCCAGGATTCTAAATCAGTGCAAACTAATAATACTCTTTTAAAAACAGATGACTAATTTGTAAGATATTAGTAAGTTAGCCTTCCCCTACCTAGTGCCATCTAAACATCTGAAATTCCATTCTCCCATCATCCCTCATCATTCGCCCTGGTGGCTGTGACTGATTAGAGTTACAGTCCCAAAAAAATCTGTGCAGTGCCAAGTTGGAGAAAGTAGCTTTAAGAATGTTAATTCTTAATTGCTAACAATAAAAGATGCTTTCCTTGTTCACTGTGCATGCACACTCTCTGCTTCCTCTTCCCCCCCAGTGTGTGTAGAGATTGAGGGAGGTTACATAGGAGTGGTGCCTTCATTTATATTTACAAGGTATGGCTAAACTTTGCCTTGAAACTGCATGTAATGCTTAGGAAAGTCAAGAAGAATGGCTAGATAATAGACTTAACCAATCTTTCTCCTGCCCTTGGCACTAAGTACAGGAGGAAGGAAATTAAGAATGAGGAAATGCAGGTGACATGGAAATAAGATTTTGTACAGGTGCAATACAAGGAATGCTATACGAAGCACATGCCAGTGAAGTAGGAAGAGGTATTTGGTTGGACTCAGAAGGAAAAGGTAAAATGTCTCTGGGGGTGGCACTGGACACAAAAGTAGAGAACTTAAAGAAAATTCTTTTTGGGAGAGTCATTGGAGAGATCACCCCACTTACATAATGTAAAGGGTAAGAAAAAATGCCTTTAAGGAGAACTAATTTGTGCTAGTATTATCCTCTCTGTACAGAATATTGATGTGAAGACCTTGAATTTTTGGAGATCTTTTCCCTGAGTGTCTTTTGCTGAATTTGTTTTCAGTGTGTTAACTGTGGAATTGATCCTATTCAAGGCATTCGATGGCACTGTCAAGATTGCCCTCAAGAAATGTCTTTGGATTTCTGTGATTCTTGTTCTGACTGGTAAGCAGCACACATTGATTGAAAGGAGTTTGATTACATTTTTAAAAGTTAACTCAGAAGATGAATTCTTACTCATATGTACAATTTATGGTCTGAAAAGTATGCAGCAAAAATGTGGAACTAGTCTGAATCGAAAAGGAAATCTTTTAAAATAAATGTTGTATGCATTGTAGGACAATCCATTTTGGAAGTATTGGAATCTTTTTACAAATGCATTTCATAACTCATCAGGAATTTTAAAATTCATTCACTGTAACAGTGATTAATCTATGACAGCCTTCCCCAACTAGTGGCCTTCAGAGGCATTTGGACCACAACTCCCAGAATTCCCATCCAGCAGGGCCATTGACTGGGAATTCTGGGTGTTGCAGTCCAAACATGTCTATAAGGTGCAAGGTTAGGGAAAGGCTGATCTATGGAAAATGTCATACTTGTTGAATAATGCTTTTTTCCTTTTCTTTTAGTCTACATGAAACAGACATTCACAAGGAAAATCATCGATTGGAGCCTATATACAGAGCAGAGATGTTCTTAGATAGAGACTACTGCCTGTCCCAAGGCCCCAGTTATAATTACCTTGACCCCAACTACTTTCCTGCAAATAGATGACATGGAAAGCAATTCTGCAACCTGCAGTTTAGTATACTCTTTGAAAACCCAGCAGTGGCGCTGTCATTGATTCTGTGCCCTCCTTGGAAAGATAGTTACTTTCCCAGGAATGTCATCCACAACATGAGAGCTTCTCTGGTGCCCTCATCAAATACAGCTCTCTGACCTGTCATGAATTAGATCACCAAACAGAGGTTGAACATTCCTAGTGTGCAGGAGGCTTTACTGGGGAGATTTTCTTTTCACCATATTAGTCATTTCTTGTAGATGGTGAATCAGAGAGGATGTACAGAGGTGTGACCAGAAATGAAAGCACACAATTTCAAAGGCGTTACAGAACTTGGCTATTATGAGATGCAGAGGTGATGAAGTACTTATATTAAAACGGTTGAGTAGTTTGCAGTTTTGTTGTGAAAATAGTTTTCAGCACAGAAACTGACTTCTTTAAGCAAAGTTTTAACCTATGACAGTGTTTGTTTCTAGAACATACTCTTAACAATCACTGTCCTATGAGGGCCGGTAAAAGGCTTTGGAGCTGCTTAATCATATTGACATTTACCTTGTTTACCCCTCTTTACCACAACAAACTAGCACTACAGGAAGCAACTGTGGCATTGCTTCCTTAACCAGCTCATGGTGTGTGAATATATTAAAATTGTCACGCAGATATATTTTTAAATGTAATGTTATATAAGATAACCATGTGATGTGTACAAAAATATGGTGAAAAGTGCCAGTGGTAGTAACTGTGTAAAGTCTCTAATACCCAACATTAACTCTTATAAAGCAAAATACACAGCCTTCTGCCTCTGTATTTGGAGTTGTTTTTACAACTCATCAAAGAAAACTGCCTAATATAAATCATATATGGTAATAATTTCCTCTTTTGTAGTATGCACAAGATCCATGAAAGATTGTATTTTTATTACTATTTAAACAAGTGATTAAATTTAGCCTGAGCAGTGAGCAAGGGTTCACATGCATTCTTTTATACTGCTGGATTTTGTTGTGCATCATTTAAAACATTTTGTATGTTTCTTCTTCTGTGTATACAGTATGTTCTTAAATAATGTTCAATTGTCAGGAGAACTGTGAGAAATAAACTATGTGGATGCAGTCTGTTTATATATGGAATGCTTACTGTGACTTCTTTCTGAGGAGTTTCGACTATCTGAACCAACATTAAAAATTGAGAATACCATTTAGTTCATAGACTGAAAGGTTGCTTGATCCTGTTAAGGGCCTCTGTGTGTTTTAGTAGTCTCTGCCCAACTGTTTTACTCAGCCTCTTCCAGGATAATGCTCTCAACACTCTGGTTCTAACACATACACCCAGTTCAGAACTCTGCGTGCTCCAGTTTGCAGATGGACCTCTTGTGTGCATGCTACTCTATTCATTTCAGTGGAGGAAGCAACTGCTCAGACAGAATACTTACACAAAGCCTCTTCCTCCTTTGAAATGAATGGGGCAGCACTTGTGGAGGCATGTGCTTAAGAAACTACTGGATTAGAGAAACTACATGGAAGAAGATAGCCAGGAAAGAAGTAATACTTCCATGTTCATGACCTTGATGCATGCTTCCTTGTATTCTTTCTAAATCCTCCCCCACTCCCCCATTTACAGAATAAAGGAGAAAGGCATTTGGTATGCTTTATTAGCCTAACAATAGCAATGAGTGAAAAGGCTTTGTAATATTTGCTATATATTTTAGCTAATATATCATTTTGACATGTATAACATGTGATTCAGAAATGCTGATTATTTTAACTGTAATAGATTTCCACTTGCTTAAACAAAAACTTGAATTTTCAGAGTGACTTAGAATACATGTTTAACTTAAAATATGGCAGTAAGTAACTAACGAAGAATTGGCTGGTGCATTTAATAGCATTAATTTCCGTTTAATCACAGTGTTAATTTTCACAGTGTTTGTTTAGGTGTAATCACTTTTTGTTAGAGGAGTTTAAGCATTTTTAATATATTGGGTAGATGATGCAATACCGTTTCTAAATGACTGAGCAGTATATTACATCGTCTGTAAGCATATCTCATTCTTTGAGACGTTTAATAAACCAAAATATATATAATGTAAAAGAATACACCTGATGTATTTCACTTTTCTCTTTAATGAAAGCAAAGCCATATTGCTTTTGGGCAGAAAAATGACTCAAAAGGCAAATATAAAAGAGAATATTCCTTTGCATATTACTCATACTATATATTCCCCTCCACCCAAATAATTCTTTATATTGTAAAGTTTACAATCATCATCCTGAGTTCTTGATCTGGAGATGATCACCATGTTGCGTGCAACATTTGCAGAAGGAATTGGTTCTTTAACACTTTGTGCACAGGTGGTTTGACCCATCATCTCTGGTATATGGCAGGATGTGGCAAAGGCACGATAGTTTGAAAAATTGGATCCAGTTCTACCCTAAGTCTCTCTGTTAAGCTTTTGTTTTGTTTAATTTGTTACATTTTTACTCCACCCTCCTAAGGAGTACACACTCCATGCCCCTAGGTAAAATCGGTGTATATATATCACAGAATTTGTGAGTCAACAACCTAATAAAAGCCATACTGGAGAAGGTGGGCCATTTTGTCTCATGCATGTCTCAATGATCTAAATAGACGTTTAAAAACTGGGTTTAGTTGTTTATGGTAAACTGCATGCTTTGCTGCTACACAGACAAACTTTACAGACATTTGAATGTTTACTAAGAGATGAAATGTTACAGAAAAGTAAAGGTCACTGATAGTTGGGTATGAAAACCATGTGATTATAGAAAAGAGATTATCATCCTTAAATCAAAGTATAAATGAGAGTATTCTTCAAACAGTTGAAATTTGCAATATATTCTAGTGACTCATTTTCTGACATGGCTTGACAAACCACTTAAACATGTTTGACTTGTTCCTGAAGCTGTAGGCCAGTTGTCATATAAGGACATTCAGAATTGCATAAATAAATGCATTTATTTTTATAGTTCATTGGGTAGTTCATTGTATATTTAACAAGTCTAAAGGCGTGGAGCAAAATGACTACTCTTAGCATTAGTCCATATATTTTATTTGTATCACATCTTCATTACAAGAGAAGTAGCTTGAAAAATAATCTTCCTCAAGTGCTCATTGATACTGCTGAGAGCAGATGCATACAGAATCGTGCATGCAGAAATAGTGGATGACACACAAGAATTATGAAATCTCCAAGAATACTAACACACCTTTGATGTTCAGCATCCATAAAACTCAGTGTTTAAGTTGACCTTAAGTTATGCAAAGTATGTGGAAATGTCCGTTTAAAATACAGGCAGTTTGAATAATTATTCTTTTCACATTTTTTAAATTACTACATTAAATGTGAAACAATGAAAGATACTGGCTTAGGGTCTAAATCTGAAATTTACAGTTTGCACATTTACTTGTTAAACATATAGTACCTCATGTACATACTGATTGCCCTCAGCTGCTTAGAACATGTCTAAGGTGTGCATATATTTCACTCAAATGCTACCATAATTACTATTTACATATCTCAAGTGCACCAGCAATATTTTCGGACTGGATTTTTTAACAGACAACAAATTGCAAATTATCATTGCAATGTTTAAACGTAAATACATTTCTATACTTCAGCACAGCTGAAGCTCTCTGGCTAGTATACAGCAATCCATAAAACAGATAAAATGTAATAAATATATATAAAATTAGTAATACATTAGAAGTTTAAAACCAAGACCCGGTAAAATATCTGAGATAAGCAGTCAAGTCCCTGGGTTTCCAAATGAGTATTTAAAACATTGACATAGATGGACATTGACATAGATGTCCATCTTAACCTGGTGCCAAAATAGATAACAAATTTACAACCAGAAACATGCGGGCAGTTGGACCAAAGTGGGGTGGTTGTTCCATAAGTGGGTGAGCCACCACAAAGAAAGCCTACCCCCTTGTGGACACACTTCCCTCAGTCAGCACTCGGAGGAAGATACCAGAAGTTGAGTATAGTGTCTCACTAGATGGTGGTTGGGAGAGGCACTCCAACAGGTATTGCAGCTTTACACTAAAATCAGAACCTTGAATTGTGGCTGGAAGTATACAGGTAGCTAATGCAAGCAGATCAGAACTGGTCTTAGGTGATTGAACCTCTGGATCCCAGTTTTTAATCTGGCTGCTGCATTATGCACCAAATGCAACCTCTGAACCACCTTCAGGAGCAACTCCATGTAGAGTGCATTGCAGTAATCTAGAGATTAACAGAGCATATATTTTTGAAGCCAGACTATCCCTGTCCAGATAGGGGCATAGCTGAGCCACCAGCCAAAGCTGAGGTCACCTGAGCCTCAAGTGACAAAGATGGATGAAGCTAAGCACCCCAAGCTATGAACCCCAAGCTTTGGGGAGGGAGGGGATCCATCTGGTCAGACGAGCCACCTACCAACCGTATCTCAGTCTTGTCTGCACTGAGCCCTCATCCAGCAACACAATATCCTCAGCTTCACCAAGTGATGATGAAAAGGAGAAATAAAGCTGCATGCCATCAGTAAACTGTTGGCAACACATTTCAAAGCCCCAAATGACCCCACTCAGTAGTTTCATGTAAACGTTAAACAGCATGGGGGACAGAATAGACTCCTAAGGAACTTCATGCTGGAGAATCTACAGGGCTGAACAATTCTGCAAACACCACCTTTTGAGGAGCACTTCCCATCTCTCTCCTGGCATAGGTCAGCATATAGAGCGACCAAGGCTGTTTCTGTCCTGAAAAGAGACCTGAAGCCCAACTGAAATGGATCCAAATAATCAGTTCCTTCCAAGAGCACCTGGAGTTCATTGGCAACCACCATCTCAAGAACCTTGCCCAGGAAAGAAGTATTTGCTACCAGCCTAAAGTTATTCAGGTCTTCCAGAGCAAGGGAGGATTTCTTCAGAAGTGGTCTCACCACTGCATCTTTCAGGCAGCATGGGACTGCTCCCTCACAAAATGCCATTAATCACCTCCCTGGCCCAGCTGGTAATTCCTTGCTGGCTTTTATAAGCCAGGTGAGATAAGGATTACACAGTAAGTTGCATGAACCTGTTCAAGCACCTTGTCCATGTCCTCAAGCTGTACCCAATAGAACTGATCCAGGCTGGGTTCTGAATATCCACAGATTCAGTTGCTTTAACTCTGGACTTCAAGTCCCAGCAGATGCAAGAAATTTTTTTTCCTGGAAGTGCTCAGCAAGTACATCTCAGGCTCCCTGTGAGACCAGAATGCAATAAGCCCCAGGCAATCTTGAAAAGCTCTGCTTGGCAACAAGAGGAAAGATTGAACAGGAAGCTGCAGATTCAAGAATTGGCCACTGGAGGGCAGCCTAGTGCAAGTGCTAGTTCCAGGTATGGTTGGAGGGCCAGGTCTGCTTGGCCTGATCAGGAGGCACCATTTGGGTCCTGTGGGTGAGTTTTGCTATTCCCCCACTCTGAGAAGCCATCCAACTCCACAAAACATTGTAAGAGGTTTCACACATAACAAGAAGCAATATGGAAACCTTAGAGCAAACTTTTAGTTATCCAAGGTGATTCATGGTAACCAAACCTGCCAAGTTTCACCATGTTTCTGTTATTCACAGAGAAGAAGAAGCAAGGCTTGTCATGATGTGTGAATGCAGCCTGTGTGTGCTTTTATCTATTAAAAAAGATTTTGCATCAGATATTTCAGCATCAAAAGTGAAGCCATTCTGATAACCCAATCTTTCTAGTTGCAAATGCAGATGGTGAGAACCTACATCATTCTCTTCTCAAATCAGTGACATATGGGCTTGGCTGGGGATAATGGGATTTGTAGCCAAACACCTGAGAGGTATGGGTTGGGAGTGACTGGCCCACAGGAATGGAATCAATCGGAGTCCACCGAAATAAATCTTAAGACTGAAAAAGAGTACACTGTACATGTGCTTATCTGAGAGGACCCCTAAAGAGCAGCCCAGTGAAGCCTGAGCATGCTTGATAGTCAAGCATGAGTAGCAGAAGAAAACCAGGGAATCGGGCAGGAGGGATGGTGGCTTGAATCTTGAACAGGGAGCATTCCTGTTAGGACAGACTACCACTTCATTGTGTGTCATGCTTGTTTTTACTATCTAAATGCATTTGAGGAAGTGAATTGTAATGCTTGACATTGAACTAGGCTGCAAACAGAAACTGAAGCTCTGTGCTTGTCTGCTGCTTACTGGAAATGCTGAGAGTCCTGCCCATCCCATCATTGGGATTTAGAAAATATTCAATATCTTCCATAGCCCTGCTGGCAGTTGGGAAGAACGTAATGGAGTGATTCCCTCTCAGAATGTCTGTGTTTTAATTGTAGTATCTTCTGTCCCATCTCTTCCCACCGTGTAGTTGAGGTGGTTCTTTTTTCCCCAGATTGTTGTTTGTCTTGTTTACAAAGCAAAATCAGGTAACATACCATCAAATTATATTGTGGATGGAAAGGAGGTTTAAATTTTCAGATAAGTTGCTAGGTATATTGATGAAAGAGACATTTTTGTCTTTCTGCCAAGCACTTTGAAGTATGAAATGAATGTTAATTGAACATCCATGGACTCTCCAATCTTAATGCTCCATGTTTCCTAAAGCAGCTGAGTAGACAGAATCTTTTTAGCACTGACAAAACAGCAAAAGCTGATACTTAGCTGCCTTTTCCATGTTCTGCTTGTTTGAAATATTAGCATAATGTGACCTTGGGATTTCCAAGCACAAAACTGAAGCTTTTCTGTCTTGGTCTCCAGATTTATTAAATTCATTCCAGAGTGAATATTTTGTGTGTTTATTTTCTGAACAATTCTTCAATTCAGTAGTTTTAGTTAATTTACTCAAATGAGCATACGAATTGTATTTGGTCAGATAAGAAAGAAAGAAAAGGTGGGATCTTTTTCACAAAAGAATCTGCCAAATAATGTGTTCATTTTTCAAAGCCCAAACCCATAGATTTTGGATTTTTGTACATATAAATACTATAATATGTTAAGCATCCTTTTTTATTTGCCACACAAACAACAAAAAGTCTTAGTGAACCTTAAAGGCTAAAACATTTATTATTGCTAGATTGTTATGGACTCTG